TCCAGGAGAGTCTTACGAGGATCCCCAAAGAAGGTCCCAAGAGGACCCCGAGGCAGGGCTTAAGGGTTCCAGGGCCGCATGGCCACCCAAGAGCACCCCAGGACAGCCTCACGAGAACCCCAGAAGAGAGCCCCAGGGCAGCCTGCCTGAGAGGCCCCCAGGGCACCGAGAGAGGGTCCGAAGGGCCCCCAAGAGGGCCGCACGGGCCCCCGAGAGCAACTCAGGAGAGTCCCACCATGACCCCCCAAAGATGTGTCTTGTCCCTAATTAAATTGTCTGCGAATATTCTGTATCTGGGTGACCCATATACAGAACATTCGCAGACAAGTTAATTAGGGACAAGACACATGATGGGTCGTAAAAAGAACTGGGATGGGGTTGCCGGTTCCGGGATCGGTGACTTGATTGATGGTCTCCCACATGGTCTCCCGTATCCTGCATGCCATCCCATATATACGTAGTCTCCCGTCTATATTCCTGCATGGTCCTGCCTATGCTCTCCGATTTGCTCTCCCGTATGGCTTACTGTATGGTCGAATGTATGGTCTCGCGTATGGTCTCGCACGTGCTTTCTCGTATGATATCTTGCATGTTCTCCATTATTCTCTCCCGGATGGCCTCCCGTATACTCTCCCGTATGCTCTTGTGTATACACAATACGATATTCGCTACCGTGCCCTGAGGCACGAGTTGGAGTGTCCTCAGGTCCTTGGCCTAATCCCTTAAGCCTCAGCCCTCAATCCTAAGAATTGTTTTGCGTGGACCCCAAATTCACAAATCTATTGGAGCTCCAGGCATCTTCCCGCATGACTTGTTCGGGCCCAACAGGGCCTCAAGACGGGCCAAGAGGGCCCCGAGAGGCTGTCCCGACGGAGTACAGACGGTCGCAGAAGGCCCCGAATCGCTGCACGATTGGTCCAAGATATCCAAGATGGCTCCAAGACGACCGCCGAAGCCTTCGAGGCGTCCCAAGGGAGCCCCAAGAGCCTAACCAAGAGGGCCCCGACACGCCAAATTCATATAGTTCCCTACAGTTTGTCAATGTTTTGGGGGTCCTCTACTTTTCGAGCTTCTGACGCTCCAAGACGGCCCAAGAGGTCCTCAAGACTGCCCAAGAGGCCCCAAAGAGGGCCCTCAGACGGCCCAAGACGGCCCCAGAGGCGCCCAAGACGGCCCAAAGACAGCTCCGAGAAGGGCCCAAGAGGGGGAACACGAACCGAACATCCGAGTCGTCCGCCCCAAGACGCCCCCAGGAAGCCCCAAGAGACCACCAGGAGGTCCCCAAGAGACCCCCAAGAGGCCCCCAAGACGCCCCAATAGCCCCCAACAATCCCCAAGAGGCTTCAAAACGGTCGCCAAAAGGCCCCGATGGGCCTCCCACGACATCCCAACGAACATCCGAGAGGCCTATGACCCACAACCCAGCCACAATGGCGGGATGAGTCGAAAGCCATTTGACCTGCTTGGCATGAGGACGGAACGCGCTCGTACTCTGTGAGGGCACGAGATCGTTAGCTCAGTGTCTTGGAGCCCTCTTGGTGTTAAGCTTTTGGTGCGTCATATTAACAACTAACAACCAACCTTGCGAACATCAATGAATATGGCCTCTCTGGGCCGTCTTGGGGGTCCCTTTGGAATTCCTTTGGGCCGTCCTGGGGCCATCTTGGGCCGTCTTGAGGGGCTTGGTCCGTCTTGGGGTCCTCTCGGGGCCCTCTTGGGGACCTTCTGTGGCCCTCTTGGGGCTCTCTTGGGAGCCTTGTGGGGCCCTCAGAGGCCTCTCTCGGGCCATATTTTGGCCCGCTTGGGCCGTCTTGGAGCCCTCTTGGGGCCGTTTGGGGGGCATCTTGTGCCGTCTGGGGGCGATCCTGGGGGCCTCTTGGGCAGTCGTGTACGCTGTGACGACCAAAGAAGCAGATATGCCAAACCTGTACGTTGTCCAAAAGGAATAGGACGATGTGTGCCTCTTGAGCGTCCGTTTGGAGGCCTCGTGGAGCGTCTCGAAGCCTCTTTGGCCGTCGTGAGGCCATCTCGGGCCCTCTCTGAGCGCTCTCGGGCCGTCTTAAGGAGGGCCCTTTTGGGCCTCCTGAGGCCGTCGTGAAAGTGGCTTGGGCGCTCTCGGGGCTGTCTTGGGCCGTCATGGGGCCCTCTGAGGCGCTCTTGGGGCTGGCTTGAGCCGTCTAGGGCCGAACATGACCGAAAGTGTGCCATTTGATCTGGGTCCGCTGAGGCGAACCCCCTCACACTCCCCCTGAATATTTCTCCCGACAAACGGATCGCGACGCTACGCGCGCTTTCCGTCATCCGCCGCGTGCACGGCGTGCCAAAAGTCTGGCAAGCTTTTTGGTTCGTTTCTGAAGAACTCCCCAGTGGGCTTCGGCCTAGCCCGCCGGCCACCAGGGAAGCTTGGGAAAATCCACTCCTCGCTGGTCACATCGCCTCCACCACGGCTAAGACGGCCCAAGATGGCCTCCAAGATGGTCCCAAGACGCCTCCAAGACGGCCAAGAATGCCCCCAGAGAGTCCAGGATGACCGAAACATGTGGCCAAGACGTTCCAAGCTGCACTCAAGACGGCCTGAGATGGCCCAGGTACAAGAAGTCCCCAAGAGGCCTCCAAGACAGCCCAAGAGGCCTCCAAGAGGATACAATGCTCGAAAAGGTCAACATGATTCATTTCCCTTTGATGTTTGATGGTTTTTGTCTTTTGATCCTTTCGACCTTCCAAGGGCCCAAGACGGCCCAACAGACCCCCAAGATCGCCCCAAGATCGCCGCAGAGGCCTCCAAGATGGCCCCAGAACGGCTCGAGGAGCCAGCAAGACGGCCCCAAGGAAAGACAGTCGAAGAGGCCTCCCAGATGCTCAAGATGGCCTCCAAGACGACCCTGAAACGCCACAAGAGGGCCCCAAGACGGTCCGCAGAGGCTCCCAAAACGGCTTCCGGCGGCGTCAGACGGGCCAAGAACGCCGTAAGACAGCCAAAGAGGCCCTAAGAAACCATCAAAGGCGCCCAAGAGGCCCAAGGAGACCCCCAAGAGGCCTCCAAGAGGCCCCCAGAAAGTTCACCAGAGCTTCTCCTCATCGTCCCTTTTCTTCCTTCTCCTCATCCTCCTCTTCCTCCCCCACGTGTTCCCCGTAGGACTTCCAAAATGGCTGGGGCAACGCATGGTGCAATAGCGTGGCCAATCTGTGCCCAAACGTCTGGCCACATAGGCGTATCCTAAAAGGCAGGGGGCGGCGGTGACTCCCCATAAGCATCTTCGATCCACCGCCCCCTGTGGCCTTGCCACAGGGGTGCACGGCGTGCCAAACGTCTGGCAAAATTTGCTTCTTCCCTCATGAAGAGTTCCCACTGGGGCTTCGTCCCAGCCCGCCGGCCACCTGGAAAACTCTGGTCGACGCACCTCCGACTGTGTTTTGGTCGCTTAAGATGGCCTCAAAACGGCCTCCGAGACAGGCGCGACAGCCTCCCAGACGGCCAAGATGGCCCAATGATATGTCGCGCCCAGCGTGCGCATCGACAACACCCCACTCAGGTCGATGGTGGGCGGGCTTTCGCCCGCCTTGCTCGCGCTCATAGGGACAGCATCCTCTCCTTCTCCGCCGTCGCCAGCGTGAGGGCCGCCTCCTGGAGCTTCCGCTGAAGGAACCTTCTCAAGCTCGACGGCCATCCTGACCTGCTGCGCACCTCCGCACCCAGCTTGGCGAAGGCTGCCTGCGCCCTCTCGACACGAGCCGTCACCGCCGCCACCTGCTGCGTGATGGGCGTTGCCGCCTCCCCCATTCTTGCACTCAGCTTCCGCGGCGTCCAGCAAGCTCTGGGCAGCCAGCGCCTGCTCCGATCCTGGCGCCGCCTTGGTTCATAGCCTGGAGCTGAGACTCCGCAGCAGCCCCCTATCACGCGGAGGGTCTGGGGCGCCGCGGACGAGGAGGGAGAGGGGAGGGGGAGAACTGTGCCACCCTCTACTCAGAAAGTCGTGCCGTCCATCTGACTGGCGTCGATGTAACAGACGAGCGCAGCGAGGGCCACTGCGCGCGACAGGTTTCCGGAGAAGAGGGCCGATTGGTTCCTCCTCCTCCTCCTCCTCCTCCTCCTCCTGCCCCTCCTGCCTCTCTCCTTCTCCCCCTGCTCCTCCTTCTGCTCCTCCTCCTCCTCCTCCTGTTTCTCCTCCTGGTCCTCCTCCTCCTCCTCCTCCTCCTCCTCCTCCTCCTCCTGATAATCATCATCCTCCTACTTCTCATCCCGCCTTGTCCTCCTCCTCCTGATCCTGGTCCTCCTCCTGCACCCTCCTCCCTCTTCCCTCCTCATAACCATCACAATCACCATCATCAACATCAGCATCAGCATCATCACCATCATCATCAGCAGCATCATCATCAGCAACATCAGCATCAGCATCAGCATCGGCATCAGCATCAGCATCCTCCGCATCCTCATCATCACCATCACCATCACCATCCTCAGCATCATCATCAGCAGCAGCATCAGCATCAACATCATCAGAATCAGCATCATCACCACCACCACCATCATCATTGTCGTCATTATCATTGGCGTCATCAATATCATCCGCATCATCATCAGCAACAGCAACAGCATCAGCATCATTATCAGTATCATCAGCATCATCATCACCATCATCATCATCATCACCATCATCATCAGCATCAGCAGTAACAGCAGCAGCAACAGCATCAGCACCAGCACCAGCATCAGCATCATCATCAGCATCAGCATCATCAGCAGCATCATCAGCATCAGCATCAGCATCAGCATCAGCATCAGCATCAGCATCAGCATCAGCATCAGCATCAGCATCAGCATCAGCATCGGCATGATCATCATCATCATCATCATCATCATCATCATCATCATCATCATCATCATCATCATCATCATCATCATGATCATCATCATCATCGTCATCATCAGCAGCAGCAGCACAATCAGCATCATCATCCTCCTTTTTCTCCTCCTCGTTCTCCGCATCACCCTCCGGCGCCTGAGAAGCATCTGCCCCATCGGCATGTGGCGCTCCGCGGCGGAGCAGGGGACCTCGGGACGGCGACGCCGTCGGCCCTACTCCGGCCGTCGTCGCGAGCACAGGGGAGGTCGAGGGGGTAGCGAGGAGGGCGCGGACGGAGGAGGAGGAGGAGGAGGAGGAGGAGGAGGAGGAGGAGGAGGAGGAGGAGGAGGAGGGGGAGGAGGAAGAGGAGGAGGAGGAGGAAAGAGCACACAGGAGGTGGGCGCGGAGGAGCGGAGAGGACGGGAGAGAAGGAGGAGGCGGAGGCGGAAGAGGAGGAGACGGAAGAGGAGGGCGAGAGAAAGGAAGGAGGAGGAGGAGGCGGAGAAGAAGGAGGAGGGGGAGAGGAAGGGAGGCGGAGGAGGAGGAGGAGGAAGAGAAGGAGAAGGAGGTGAGGATGAGGAGGAGGAGGAGGAAGAAATTGGGAGGATGAGGATGAGGATGAGAATGAGGATGAGGATGCTGATGATGACGATGATGAGAAGGATGATGATGCTGATGATGCTGATGATGCTGATGATGATGACGATGACCATGGTGATGACACTGATGCTGATGATGCTGATGATGATGCTGATGATGATGACGGGTCTGCGATGGTGATGATGCTGATGATGATGGTAAGATAAGATAAGACACGACTATGGGCCCTCATCCCTCTGTCCTGCTGGCACAGCCGCGGCGGAGCGGACACACCGCGCGCTCTGCGTCCAAATATAATGTATCGATTAAACCGTGGGATTTCGAATTAATCGTTCAGTGCGTGAAACCTGGAGGGTGCGCCCGTCGGATGACTGGTGAAAGTCATGAGGTTCGAGGGGGGGCCCGACGGGCCCTGACGGACCTGAGGACTGGGCCCCAGGGACGCGCGCACCGAAGCGTAAGGTGCGCACAGACCCCAAAGGACGGAGAGCACGGGGCCACAAGGCCCGAGGTGGAGCTACTTCGAGGCGGGCCAACAGGGGGGCGGACCTCGCGGCAGCGATTGAACAAAAAAGAAAAAAAGGCGATGGAGGCAGTGGTGGCCTCACGGTCCGTCGACCTCACACGACGTGGTTTGCCTCTGGGTCGGCGAGGTCCAGCCCGTAGGTGTAGATGTGCTCCCAGCACCCGCAATACGGTGTGTCAGCATCTCGCCCCGTGGTGATGTAGACGAGCGTCGAGCAACCAACGATGTGAAATCCCCCACCAGGGGCGGCAAAGCAAATAGGCGACGAAAACCCTCCAGTTAGCGGCGCACGTTTGCAGAAGCAGAGGACGAGTAGGATGATGAGGATAGGGTTGATGATGCTGATGCTGATGCTGATGTTGATGCTGATGCTGCTGATGTTGATGCTGCTGCTGCTGATGATGCTGATGATGATGGATGACGAATGATGAATGATGAATGATAAATAAAGAATGATGGATGATGAATGGTAAATGAGGAATGATGGATGATGATGATGATGATGATGCTGCTGATGATGATGATGATGATGATGATGATGCTGATGATGACGATGACAATGACGATGACGATGATGCTGATGCTGCAAATGATGATACTGATGATGCTGCTGCTGAGGAGGAGGCGGGAGGAGAAGGAGGAGGAGGAGGAGAAAAAGCAGAGAAAGGATGGAGGAGGAGGAGGAGGAGGAGGAGGACAGGACGGAAGGGGGAGAGGAAGGAGGAGGAGGAGGAGGAGGATAATGAGAACGAGGAGGAGGAGGAGGAGGAGGAGGTGGAGAGGAAAGAAGAAAGGAAGGAAAGAAGGAAAGAAAGAAGGGAGGAAAAGCCGGGGAAGAGAAGGAGGAGAAGGAGGAGGATGATGATAAGGAGGAGAGGGGGAGGAAGAAGGAGGACAATGAGGAGAAGGAGGGAGGAGAAGAGGAGGAGGAGGAGGAGGAGGAGGAGGAGGAAGGCGAGGCACGCGCGGAGGGCGGGGAGGAGGACGAGGAGCCAGAGGGACGATGCTCGCGGCGCAGAGGAGGATGAGGAGGAGGACGACGTGGAGGCGGATGGAGAAGGAGACAAAGGGGGGAAGGAGGAGGTGGCTGGAGAGGAGGAGAGGGAGGACGAAAGAGAAGAAACATCAACAGGAGAGAGGGGGAGGGGGATTTCACACTGGCGGGATCCAGCAATCGCATCGAATAGCCAGCAGTCGCGTAGAATCTACATGTTTTGCCCTGGCATCCCAAAGCGTAAAGCCCGCACATGATCTCAAGCACTCTGGCTTGAGCCATGATGCCAGCGGAGTAACAGCTGCAACGTCGGCTACGTGCATACCTGCCGTACGAAGGCAACGCTTCTGATCTGAAGCAAACTGCACACATATCTAGGGACAGGGCACCATAAAGCTGTACAGCTCTTGCTGTTATGAACAGAAAGCCGCCCGCCTGAAGACAGGGCACAAGAAGCTGGAGATCCTGGCCAGCAAGCCAGGCACCAGCGAGGAACTGGAGAGGAGCACTGGCTCCTCCCCGCGGACCAGGCCCGGAAACGCCACAGAGCCTGGCCGAGTTTCGCACGAGTTTCACGGTATTGTTCGTGTCGTTTCTTTTTAAAATTCACGACGACTATTGCGGGGCTCGCTTCCGACGCTGCTTCCGCGAAAGAAGGGCACTTCCACAGGCCCGCCAGCGCCCATAACCAGTGAGGGCTGACCTCAGCACGGCGGGCGCACCTGCCGCGCGGCAGTCTTCCGCGCGTGCCGACCCCGCCCCCCCCCCGTCCACATGGTAGAGAGAACAGCTGAATGGCTCCCTGCCTGCAGCATCTCACACGCTCGTGTGCTTCCCCTCCCCAGACAGCGCTCCTCTGCGCGGACGGCCGTTGTGTCCCATTGGGGGCACACGTCTGCCGAGTCCTCAAGCTGGGAGGGCCTGGCGGCCCTGGCTTTGATGGACAGTCTTGCCACCAGGACGCTCGAACCGCCACCGCCCCCGACGCACCCACGCGGCCAGAAGACGCGCGAGGTCTTCCAGGAGAAAGGCGACGCGTAAGAGCAGAAGGATGAGGAGAACGACAAAGATACGAGCGACGACGATTGACCACGACGACGACGACGACGACGACGACGACGACGACGACGACGACGACGACCTTGGCGGGGAGGGAAGGTCGAGCCGTGCCGTTCCGCCCGGTTCTCCGTCCGCCTCTCCCCCTCTCCGCAGCGCCGACAGAGACGACGGCGACGGCGACGGCGACGACGACGACGGCGACGGCCTGGCACGCAGCCAGCGCGTGCGAGGCGAGGGTGGCCGTGGTGAGCACGGGCGCCTGGGCCCCGCGAGAGCGCGCAAGGGGCGTCCAAGAGGGGGGGTCGCAAATCCTCCTCCTCCCTCCCCCTTCTCCTCCTTCTCCTCCTCCTCCTCCTCTTCCTCCTCCTCGTCCTCCTCCTCCTCCTCCTGTCGCCTTCTCCCTCTTCCTCCTCCTCCTCCTCCTCCTTCTCCTCGTGCCTCCTCCTCCTCCTCCTCCTCCTCCTCCTCCTCCTCTTCTCTCCTCCTCCTCCTCCTCCTCCTCCTCCTCCTCCTACTCCTACTCCTCCTCCTCCTCCTCCTCCTCCTCCTCCTTCTCGTCCTCCTCCTCCTCCTTCTGCCCCCCGTCCTCCTCCCTACTCCCTCCAACCTCCTCCACATCATGCCCCCAGGCGTGTGCGCGGACGAAGGGCGGGAGGGCAATGGACGTACTGAAATAACAAGGGAGGCCATGAAATCCGGGGAGGTGACACGGTCCCAGCAATGAGATCCACCACCACCCCAGCCATCGCTCCCTGGCCGCTGCCGAAGCGGGCGGGGGGGGGGGGGGGGCGCTCTGGCAGCGCAGCGGGCGGTGTGGGGCGTGGCGCGGAGGAGTCGGGCCCCCGCGAGGCTCGAAGGTGGTCGAGGGGGCTGAAACTCGAGGCCCGAGGCTCGAAGGGGCGCCGGCGGCGCATTGGGCGCCACGCCAGGGCTGGCACGGAGGAAACAAGTCCTGAAGGCGCGGGGATGGAGGGGCGAAGCCGGAGGAGGCGAACGTTTTCTTATTCGGCGTTTCGACCTTGGGCGGAAGGGCGGGGTGGGGAAGGGGGGGTATCTTGCCTCCAGACCTCTGCTTGAGGCCACTGCTTGGGACAGTGCGTCCCATGGGGGAGACCCCACCTTCTCGAAACAGGCGCCACAAGCAGCCAAGATCTATTCCACGGGGGGGGGGAGAGGATTCGAGGGCCCGCGCCGGTCGGCAAAGCAATGAACCGGAAAGCGATCACGATCTAGTTAGTTAGGTGTTTGGACGCTGCGGGGAGTGCGCCTCCTGGAGGAGCGAAGCCCGAGGATCTGGGAGGAGCGAAGCTCGAGGACGGAGGAGCGAAGCTCGAGGTGTTTGGACGCTGTGGGGACTTGCGCCTCCTGGAGCGGCCTCGCCGCCGCGGCGCGATCCGCCTCGGACCTCTGGCCAGGACGCGCACGCCTGCAGAGGCGGAGGGGCCGACTTTTGGAGGGTCGGCAGGAAGGCAGCGGGCCCTGCAGGAGAGAAAGGGCCCCCGAAAGCTTGCCGCCGCCCTCGGGGCCTCCGGGAGAAGGAGTCCGAGTCCTGCTGATTCGATGTGGCGGGCTCCAGAAATCCGGATGGATCGAACGAATTGTCACCTATTGGGGGCCCTCTTTCACTTCCGCACTGGGAAGAGAGCGCCATGCGGAACGACGGGAGCACAGCGCGGATCCGAAAATGAGGCCGACGCTGCATCGGGGACACCATTCCGAAACACCGAAACGAGCGGATTGCAAAACAGAATCACTCTTGTCCAATCCTGTGCGAAACAGAACAGGACGCGGAGCGGCCGGGCATCCTCTGGACGGAGTCAGGGGGAGAAGATACTGGTACTCATATAGAAGTATTGTCGTGCGACCGCGTGTCCACGGGATCGCGCCTCAGATTTCGAGGAAAAAGAATCCGCATGAACTGATGGGCCTGTTTCCCACCACCACCACCATAAGTTGGAGGGGGAGGTGGTCCTCCTCCTCCTCCTCCTCCTCCTGCTCTTCCTCCTCCCCCCCTCCAACTTATGGTGGTGGTGGTAGAAAACAGGCCCATCATGAACTTATTCTTTCGGAGCTCCGCGCGCATTCCTTGGGGGCGCCGCCGAACTCCCGCCCCCGGCGCGCGGGGGCGCCGCCGCGCCGCCCAGGGCTGCGCCAGAGGCGCCGCCAGGGGGGGAGGCCAGAGCCCATCCCAGAAAGCCGCGCGGAGCTCTGGCAGCTTATGCTCATGCCGTCTTGCCTTCTTCGAGGAACCCAGACCAGAAGGAGAGGACGAGGGGACGGAGGAGGAGCAGGGTAATAATAACAACAATAGTAAGAAGAAGGATACTGATCATCATAATAATACTCAAAATCATAATGATAACCATAATATTATTGATGATAATACATATGCTAATCATAATATGAAGAGTAATGATAGGAAGTGGAAGGCTAACAACACGAGTACGAATAATAATAAGAAACGTAAGAGTACTCAGAATAACAAGAGTGCGGGGCATCTTCCGGACAGGGTGAGGGAGGGGAAAGAGGAGGAGGATGAAACGATTGAGGAAGAAGGAGGAGGAGGAGAAGGAGGAGGGGGCGTCACTGTCAAGGAGCAGGAGGAGGAGGAGGAGGAGGAGGGGGAGGAGGGGAAACGACCCGACGCCTCGGCCTTCCCGCCCCCCCTCGGCTGGCCGAGCACAGGAAGCGGGGCGGGAGGCGGCGGCGCGGCGCCCAGAGCAGGTAGAGCGCCGCGGCGCGGCACTGCCACTGCTCTCCTGGGCGGTGGGGGGGGGAGGGAGGGAGGGAGGGAGGGAGGGAGGAAGGGGAGGGAGGGAGGGAGTGACTCCCTCCCTCCCCCCGCCATCCCTCCCTCCTCGACCCTCCTCGACCCTCCTCCTCGACCCTCCTCGCCCCTCCTCGACCCTCCTCCTCGACCCTCCTCCTCCCTCCCTCCTCGACCCTCCTCCATCCCTCCCTCCTCGACCCTCCTCCTGCAACTTCGTCCTGCACCCCCCCTCGCCCCCCGAGACGCCCGGCGGGCCGACCGGCCGAGGGGCCCTCCTCCCGCGAGCCCAGGCGTGCCGCGCGTCGGGTGCTCGAGATGCTTGACGGCCACGCTGGCCAGCCACCTGAGGAGGGAAGCGGCGCGCAAAGGGGTGCGTCGCGAGGGGGGCAATCTCCCTCTGCCCTCCTCCCTCCACCCCGTCCACCTCCACTCCTCCTCCTCCTCCTCCTCCTCCTCCTCCTCCTCCTCCTCCGCCTCCTCCTCCTGTCTCCTCCTCCTCCTCCTGCTCCCTGCTGCTCCTCCTCTCCTGCTGCTGCTGCTGCTGCTGCTGCTGCTGGTCTTCCTCTTCCTCCTCCGCCTCTTCTCCTCCGCCTCTTCCTCCGCCTCCTCCGCCTCCTCCTCCGCCTCCTCCTCCTCCTCCTCTTCCTCCCCCCCCTCCTCCTCCTCCCCTCCTCCTCCTCCTCCTCCCCTCCTCCTCCTCCTCGTCTCCTCCTCGTCCTCGTCCTCGTCCTCGTCCCTCGTCCTCGTCCTCCTCCTCCTTCCTCCTCCTCCTCCTCCTCCTCCTCCTCCTCCTCCTCCTCCTCCCCTCCCCCCCTCCTCCTCTTCCTCCTGCTCCTCTTCCTCTCCTCCTCCTCCTCCTCTGCTGCTGCTGCCTCCCCCCTCCTCCTCCTCCTCCTCCTCCTCTCCTCCTCCTCCGCCTCCTCCTCCTCCTCGTCCTCCTCCTCCTCCTCCTCCTGCTGCTGCTGCTCCTCCTGCTGCTGCTGCTCCTCCCCCTCCCGCATCGTATCATCGGATATGACGTCCAAACACTGGCATGCCAATCAAAGATAGAACAGTGTGAGACGGCCGAATGGGGGAGGAAGAGGGGTAAGGGAGGAACCTGGGAGCAAAGCCAGGGATCAAGGGAGAAGAGCGTAACGACGACTTCATCGTCGAAGCTTGTTCACAAGCTGCATGGTTACAGACGACATCGTCGTACTCCTCCTCCTTCGCATCCCACAGATTCCTCCTCATCCTCATCCTCATCCTCATCCCACATACTCCTCCTCCTCCTCTTCCTCCTCCTCTCTCCTCCTCGTCCTCCTCGTCGTCCTCCTCCTCCTCCTCCTCCTCCTCATCCCCCCCCTCTCTCTCTCTCTCTCTCTCTCTCTCTCTCTTCGTCCTCATTATTTTCCTCCTCATAACCATCATCAGCACCATCACCATCACAATCGTCATCACCACCATCACCATCACCATCACCAGCATCATGATTAGTATCATTATCATGACCATCATCAGCATCCTCATGGTCATCATCATCACCATATTCAGAATCAGCATCATCAGCATCATCATCATCATCATCACCTTCACCATCAACATCGCCATCACCATCATCATCACTATCATCATCAGCATCAACATCATCATCGTTGTCATGTTCACCATCGTCATCAGCAGCATCATCATCGTCGTCGTCTTTGTTGTCGTCGTCCTTGTCACCACCATCAACATCAACATCAGCATCATACATAGCATCATCAGCAGCATCATCAGCACCACCATCATCAGCATCATGCTCATCATCATCAGCATCATCATCATCAGCATCATCATCAGCATCATCATCATGATCATCATCATCAGCATCATCAGCACCGCCATCACAATCAGCATCGCCAAGATCACCATCATTATCACCATCAACATGAGCATCATCGTCATCGTCATCAGCATCAACATCATCATTATCATCACCATCAGCAGCATCATCATCACCATCCCAATCATCACCATCATCACGATCACAATCATCGTCGCCATCAACATCAGCAGCATCTTCATCGTTACCATCATCAGCATAATCTTCGTCATCATCAACACCACCACAATCAGCATCACCATCATCATCATCATCGTCTTCGTCGTCGTCGTCACCACCATCACCATCACCGTCGCCATCACCAGTACAGTCACCATTATCACCATCATCATCATCTTCATCATCATCATCATCATCATCACCATCATCATCATCACCATCATCATAAGCATCACCATCACCATCACCATCATTATGATCATCATCATCATCATCGTCATCACCATCACAATCAACATGGGCACCATCGTCATCGTCATCATCATCGTCAGCATCCTCATCATCACCATCACCCTCATCATGACCACCATCACCTTCACCACCGCCATCACCATCACCATCATCATCATCATCATCATCATCATCATCACCACCAGCAGCATCAGCATCAGCATCAGCATCGTCATCATCATCATCATCGCCACCACCATCACCATCGTCATCATCATCACCGTCGTCGGTGTTGTCGAGGGCGCTTCGACGCCGCCGCGCTCGCGCCCGCACGGCCCGAGGCTCTCCGCGCGCGCCCGAGGGAGCCGCGCGCGGCCCGCCAGGCCGGCGCGCGCGAAGGGCGGCGGCGGTGACCACCCAGACGCGAGCAGCCACGGCGCGGCCAGCAGCACGGTCAGCGCCAGCGCCTGCGCGCAGCCGCCTGCGAGGGGGGATGGTGAGGGGCGGCAGGAGGAAGCAGGGGGAAGAGGGGAGGAGGAGGAGGAGGAGGAGGAGGAGGAGGAGGAGGAGGAGGAGGAGGAGGAGGAGGAGGAGGAGAGGCACGAGGATGAGGAGGATGAGGAGGGAGATGATGATGATGATGATGATGATGATGATGATGATGATGATGATGATGATGATGATGCTGATGCTGATGCTGATGCTGATGCTGATGATGATGATGCTGATGCTGATGCTGATGCTGATGCTGATGCTGATGCTGATGCTGATGCTGATGATATGATGATGATAATGATAATGATGATGATGATGATGATGATGATGATGATGATGATGATGCTGCTGATGCTGATGCTGATGCTGATGCTGATGCTGATGCTGATGACGCTGCTGATGATGAGGAGGAGGTGGAGTAGAAGAAGGATGAGGAGGAGGGCGACGACGAGGACGCCGCAGCGGAGCAGGAGGAGGAGTACAGGGAGGAGGAGAGGTAGGGTGAGCACGATGAGGATGAGGAGGATGAGGATGAGGATTAGGATGATGATGATGATGAGGAGGAGGAGCAGGAGGAGGAGGAGGAGGAGGAGGAGGAGGAGGAGGAGGAGACGGTCATAGCAGATGTGCCAGCCCACGCCCCAGGAGGAGGAGGAGGAGGAGAAAGGAGAAGAAGGAGGGGGAGCAGGAGGAGGAAGCCGAGAATAGGGGGCGCAAAAGGAGGACAAGGGTTGGCGCAGGAGGAGAAGGATAACGACGACGACAACGGCGACGGCGACAACGACAACGGCGATGGCGACGACGACAACAACCAGGATGACCACCAGGATAGAACAAGCTGTGCTTCCCTCCATGTGTTTCTCCCTCTCCCATGTTTCCGCCCACCAAGTCTATGAATCACCCCCACCCCCTCTGAGGGGGGTCTTTTCACACTTGCTCCTGGGAGAAGCAGTCAGCAGTGCACTCTGAGTGCCCATCGCGCCGACACGGCTGTCACGCGAGCTCGCGAACCCGCGGGTAACTCACCAACTTGAATGGATTGCGAGACCGTCTCGGGCAGGAGCTCCGTTGTCGAGTCTGGGGGCCTCCAGGGCGTCTCAGAACAAACTGTAAGGAAGTAGCGAGCGGGAGCCGGTGTCACCGCAGCTGGTGTTTCACCAATTTGAATGAACTGCGAGGACGTCTCGGATGAGAACGCCAGTCCTGAGTGCGATGATGCAGGGAGCACGCGAAGGAGTGAGCAAGAACCATCGAGCAGGAACCGTTGTCCTCGTAATTGCGGCATCCAAGATCAAAATTGGGAACACAGCCAGCGAGCGACGCTTTCAGAGAAAATGTAGCCGGCGTCGAGGCGAGAGCGTCCAGAACACTTTCCATCTATATATATATATATTATATCACCCAGAAGACAGATTACCTAGGAATATATAAACCAGCGTGGACCCAAAACACTGAGAGCTGTTGCAATGTGGAGATAAAAGAAATTCTGTGCGGAGTTAGCCGTGTGGTGTTGGTTGTGCTGTGCACGCCACGTGGTGTGAGCCACATGGCGCGAACTACTCGACGCGACCCGCGCGGTGCGATCCATGCCGCGCAAGCTGAGCGGTGTCCGCTGCGCGGTGCGAGCTGCGCTGCGCCAGCCGCGCGGCCCGCCCGGGGCACGGGGAGCCCACGAGGCGCCCACTGGGCGGGCACCGGGCGACACCTCGGCGGGCCCACCGAGGGCCCGGGGGGGGGGGGGCCGCGAGCGACTGCGAGCACCCCACTCGGCGGCGACGACAGGGGCGAATAGCCCAGGGGCGGGCATTACACGCATGCGCCGGGGAGCCTCTTCGAAGACATAGATCATCGGCGCACCTGAATCCATGCACTGCTCTCCCCTGGGCTATTCGCCCCTGTCGTCGCCTCTGGCCCACGGGCGGCAGGGTGGAACGTGCCCGGCGGGCCCGTCCCATGACGGAGGTGAGCCAGGTGGGAAGCCCCCGAAGCGCAGGCACTGCCCCAGACCCCCCCCCGGGCGTCATGATTTTTGTTTCACCACGCCGACCCCCGGAGGTCTCGGCCCATTCCCCGGGACCGCTTCTTCGCCCCCAGTCGTCTCTGGACGGCCCCGGGACAGGCGAGGGCCCCCCGAGGCCGAGCGGAGCTAAAACGAAACTCCCCGGCGTGACTGCAAAGCTAAAAGGAAACTCTCCGTCGTGCTTTCCTCATGGCTCGAGGGCGTACACCTGGGGTTTTTTGGCTCCGTCGAGGCGTCGCCGATCCCAGGCCGATGCCACCCCCCCCCCGGGCGCCAGGCCCCCCCCTGTGGCCGCTCCTCGGCGCGCCGCCCGCCCCCCCTTCGCCTGCGCTCTCCGCCGCGCCTCTCCCTCGCGCGCGGGGAGGGCGGTGGTGCCGACGGCCGCGTGCGCGTGCGCACTGGCCGCCAGGCGGTGCCCCCCCCCCCCCCCCCCCCCCATCTGGGGTTCGACGGCGGCCCGCCTGGGCTCACGCCCGCGTGGCTGGCCGCGGCGCCCTGCTGCGGGGCGGCGCTGCAGGCGCGGTCGGCGCCGTAGAGGCAGTGCGCGGCAAGGCCCGCGCCTGCGCGGCCGGCGGCGGGGAGGGCGTCGAGCTGCTGCGCGCATCCTGCTGCTCCCCCCCCCCCGCCTCCCCCCGCTCCTCCCCGTTCCTCCCCTCCCCTCCCTCCTCCCTCCTCCCTCCTTCCTCCTCCTCCTCCTCGTCCCTCCTCCTCCTCCTCCTCCTCCTCCTCCTCCTCCTCCAACTCCTCCTCCTCCTGCTCCTCCTCCTCCGCCTCCAGACTGCGCTCCTCTCGCCAGATGCTGTGCGAGCGTGGCGCCGCCTCTCCAGCAGCATACGAATCAGCGCACATGCCCTCGTGATGCTGATATGTTGTGTCTTGGCATCGCGCTGCGTTTGTCGCTTTCGTGCGCGCTTTGTCTCACAAGATACTTCAAGCTGCTCCTCGAGGGTCCTCGCCGGGGAGAAAGCGCACTCGTCCGAGCGATGCCAAGATGTGGGCTCTGCAAGCCTGCGCGCTTGTGCGGTTTCAGAGCGGTGCTCCCGCTGCAGCGTCGGCCCCATTTCAGGATCGGTGCGTTGCCCCCGTCGTGCAGACAGGCGCTTTCCCGTCAACGCGGGCCAAATGTCTGAATCCGATTCTTTCCTCGTCGTCGTCGTCGTCGCCCTTTTCCCCTTCTTTGCTTTCCCCTGGTCCTCCTGCTCCTCCCGCTCCTCGTGCTGCTCCTCCCCCTCCTTGTCTTCTCATCCTTCTGCTCGTCCTCCTGCTGCCCATCCGCCACCTCATCCTCAAATGTACAGGCCGTTCCTTTCTGATTGCGCATCGCACAATGGGTCATTGGAGTGATCCAGGTCCGCAAGGACGTCCGTCGGCTATATAATCCGCCGACCCTGTCGGCGTGTGAGGCGTCGTCATCGTTGTCGTCGTCGCCGCCGCCGCCGTCGCCGCTCATCCCTTTCCCTGTGCTCTCCTCCCCGAGCGTTCCAGCCAAAAGGAAATCGAGCGACGTCGTAATCGAGCCGAAGGGAAGCCCCTTCACTTTGATCTCTCCCCCGCCGGGGAGGGGTCCTGGTCGGGTGGGAGGGGGGTCGGGGTCAGGGGGGTTCTGGTCCCCCCCCCGAGGGAGCACCCCTCCCTGGGAGAAGCTTTCGGCTCCAGGGTGCCGTCGTCCCCGTCGTCGTCGTCGTCGTCGTCGTCGCCGTCGCCGTCGCCGTCGCCGTCGCCGTCGCCGTCACCGTCGTCGTCGTCGTCGTCGTCGTCGTCGCCGTCGCCGTCGCCGTCGCCGTCGCCGTCGCCGTCGCCGTCGCCGTCGCCGTCGCCGTCGCCGTCGCCGTCGCCGTCGCCGTCGCCGTCGTCGCCGCCGCCGCCGTCGCCGTCGTCGTCGTCGTCGTCGTCGTCGTCGTCGTCGTCGTCGCCGTCCCCCTTTAGGTTCGGCGGTGCTGGTCGCAAGGCCTTCCCAATGGAGAACATATCAGTGCAGTGGGGAGGGATGGGTGGGAGGGGTAGAGTGTCAGACATGGCACATGGCCTGAGTGTACTTCACTTGCCTTTCTCTCGTCTCTCCTCCTTCTCCTCCTGCTCCTCCTCCTCCTCCTCCTCCTCCTCCTCACCCTCCTCCTCTTCCTCCTCCTACTCCACCTCCTCCTTCTCCATCCCTCTTCCTAATGAATAACTGTTCCCTGTCGCACCCCGAGGCCGGCTGGTAGGGATGGCAGGGCGTTTCGCCGAAGACTTTCTCACCAAGTATAATCCTAAAACTTGAAATTTGCACCAGCTTCACGGGTGGTGGGTCGTTTGCAGAATGTTGTTCTCGCTTTAGCGCCGATCACATTCGTCTTAAAACTTCGCAGGCAGCTTCACGGATGGAGAGCGTGTGATTTCAAAATGCGGTTCTCGCCTTAGCGCCGCGCCCATTTGCCTTTACATTTCGCAAGCACGTCGCGGATGGAGGGCGGGCCGTTTTCAACATTTTGCTCTCGCCCCAGCACCGCGCACAGTCGTCCTAAAAGCTTGCATGAGATTCGCGGATGCAGGGCGTGTGATTTCAAAATGGGGCTTTCCCCTTAGCGCCGCTCGCATGCGCCTTCAAAATTCGCAAGGGTTCCACGGGTGGAGGGCGGGCCGTTTTCGGAATGTGGTTCTCGCCTTAGCGCTGGTCACATTCGTGTTTAAACTTTGCAGAGCGATTCACGGATGCAGGGAGGCTCTTTTCCAGATGTGGTTGTCGCCTTAGCGCCGCGCGCACTCGTCTTTAGAATTCGCACGCGCGTCACGGATGGAGGGCGGGCCGTGTTCAAAATGTGGGTCTCGCCTTGGCGCCGCGCACATTCGCCTTATCAAAGGCTGCACGAGCTTAATGGATGGAGGGCGGTTCCTTTTCCACATATGGTTCTCGCATTAGCGCCGCGCGCATTTGCCTTCACTCTTTACAGCAAGATCAAGGGTTCCTATGATTGATGGCCCAAGAATCGTGTTAGGCACGAGTTAGGATTGCCAACGCGCGTCAGTCACGTAATTCGCGGTGCGTACGTCCCAAAAACGGTGTTCTGGCATTTAGGCGCCTCAGATCTCAGCAGTAATGTTGATTGGCTGCGTTGAAGTCCCAGGAAGGGGTGCTTTGGCACGGTTGAAGAAAACTTTCAACCAAGTGTCGTCCAACAAAATGTGCCGAAACATCCTGATATGAGCCTGCGGAAACGGAACTTGGAGCGAGGGTGTATTGCAACATCGTTGGTGAGTCTAGGATTTTCACGGGTCCTTTTCAGCGAAATGGAAGATGCAGCAGTACAGTTGATTCGCGGCGTTGCAGTCCAATCTTCCATCGGAGCACTACCAGAAGTGGCAACAAATCGCTGCAGGGACCTATGAGATGGGAGCGCGGAGGGAGGGATTATTGCAACATCTTTGATGCGTCTTTGGTTTGCAGTGGTCCTCCTCCTCCTCCTCCACCTCCACCTTCTTTTCCTCCTCCTCCTCCTCCGAATGCTCCTCCTCCTCCTCCTCCTGTGCCTCCCTTTCCTCCTTCTCGCGGCATCCTGGCCCCTCGGCGGAGGCAGCTGGGCAAGTATATTCTGCCGCTCTGGGTGGCGCATAGTTGCTAAACCCATTCAACTCAGCAGCAGGCGCATTATCCACGGACAGAAACAGCAAGTGCAATCGTCGAGCAACTTGGTGAAATCGTCGAGAGCTTGTGCGCATCACCGTTGGAAACTTTCATGCGAAACCACTTAGTGTCAACATGGGCTCGTCGAGCAATACCTTCGTCGCATCGTCGAATACATTTTTCGTGAAAGCATTCATATAGGTAGCGGACAGATCCAGCTTCGAACTGTACCATCATCGGAGGGCAACCCGCTGGCTGTAGCGGCCAATCCGCTGACACTCGAGCGTCTCGAGATGCTGCAATCCGCGGGTCGAACTTATCTGTGCCTTCAGTTATCGCGTATAGCTCGAGGGCCCCGTAAGTCATAGCGGCTACGCGGCGAAAGGATGTGCGAGCGGTTGTGCTAGCTTGCTGGGCACTCAGGCTGCGAAGCAGTCGTGAATGGCTGGTTCAGTAGGAAGCGGCTCGCCCCAGAAGGCGAGGACGGGGACCTGTGGGCCTCCCTTGGCCGGACTCTCGTGCGGCAGAAGAGGGACCCCTCTTTGACCGCCGTCCTGCTCGCCCCGTCCACCCAGGACGAGGAGGCCATTGCGAGACGGCCATCCGATCGGTGGCCCATTACAGGTAAGGCTGCTGTCAATCGTGCTGCCAGCATGGCTGCACGCCACGCCCGCGTTCCCGCCGACGTGCGCTGGGCGGTGCTGATCCATGAACGCCGGGCCGTCCTTGCACGTACGCGCATGCTGCCGGCAACTCTCGATGTGTTTTTGCTGCTGAGGCTCTGGCCGTGGAAGGGAACAAAAGAGTGCCGTCGTCCGTGGTCCGTCCTCCGCCTGCTGCTGCTCTCTCTGCCCCGACGACCTCCCACTGCTGTCTGGATGATGGTGGGCGGTGCTGCCAGAGGTGTGTCGGCTCGGCGTCCGAAGGAACAGCGGCGGCCTGGCGTAATTCACCGCGCTCATCCCCATCAGTTATAATGGCACCAACCTCTTTACAACCCCGCTGGCGAGGCTCCAAGTTGCTGGAGGGTGGGGGCATGATTCTCAATTCTCACGTCTTACGGCTGTATAATCAGCTGCTACTCTAGCATTGCGAAAGGTGTGGGTGCTTTGCGATCTCCCAGTTAGTTCGTCTCGGCAGATTGTGTACCCAGGTCAAACTCGAACGGGCTAAGCAGCTGGATCGAATATCCTAGGGGCTCTGGCCGAAGGTTTTAGGCAAGGCCGAGAAGATTGCTCGTGGCCGCAATGCGTCGTTCATTCAAAATTGGTCGGCACTCATTGGCTCTGACGCTGTCAGACGGTAACTTATTCTCCTCCTTGCCATCCCCTGCATATTCTTCGGAACAATATGTGTTGCAGAAGCGCTCGACCGATAGCGAGGCTGACGGCCATACAGCCAGCAGACTCGTGCAGCGGCGCCTGGAAAGTACCGCTCTGCACCCAATTGCAGAATACGATTTGTAACCTGACGTTCCCCAGCCGCCCCCGACCCCCTCCCCGATGCTCGATGCTGCGGGGCGGCTCGCCGTGATGCCCGAGGCCCGTGACAACCCGGCCCCAAGCCAGAGCCAGGGGGAAGACGATGACTACACCCACTCCTCCTCCTCCTCCTCCTCCTCCTCCTCCTCCTCCTCCTCCTCCTCCTCCTCCTCCTCCTCCTCCTCCTCCTCCTCGTCCTCCTCCTGGCGTCGGCACAGCCGGTGATGCCCGCACATCTACCCCTGACGCCGAACGCGAACGCGCGGACGCCAAACGCGAAAGCCTCCTCCGCCCCCACCCCTCCTCCTCGACCTCCTCCCCGCTGCCCTCGCCCTCGTCCTCCCCCTCCCCCGCCTTCCCCCCACCGTCCCTCCTCCCCATCCTCCCGATCACCCGCCAATCCTTCCCGCCACTCCACGTCGCGCCGCGAGGGCGCGCGCGGGGCCCGCCTAACGTGACGCCGATGGCTGCGAGCGCGAGGACGAAGATCGCGTTCGACTCCGCATCTGGCCCGCGCGCCAGGCTCGCAGTCGTCCCCTGTCCATCCAGCCCTTTGCCTCATCATCATCCCCCTGCTCCGTCTCCTCCTCCTCCTCATCATCATCATCATAATCATAATCATACTCATCATCATCATCATCATCATCATCATCATCATCATCATCATCATCATCATCACCACCATCACCATCACGATCACCATCACCATCACCATCATCATCAGCATCAGCCTCAGCATCAGCATCAGCATCAGCATCAGCATCAGCATCAACATCATCATCATCATCATCAGCATCAGCATCAGCATCAGCATCATCATCATCATCATCATCATCATCATCATCATCATCATCATCATCATCATCATCATCATCATCATCATCATCATCATCATCATCATCATCATCATCATCATCATCATCATCATCATCATCATCATCATCATCATCATCACATCATCATCATCATCATCATCATCTCGTCCTCGTCCTCTTCCTACACCTCATCCTCTTCCTCCTCCTTTTCGTCCGTCACCTCCTCCTCCTCCTCCTCCTCCTTCCTCCTCCCTCTTCCTTCTGCTTCTCCTTCTCCTCCTCCTCCTCCTCCTCCCCCTCCTCCTCCTCCTCCTCCTCCTCCTCCTCCTCCTCCTCCTATCATCCTCCTCCTCCGTCCATCTGTTCCGCCTACGTGTCCGTGTTCTCCTTTTCCTCCTCCTCACCATCCTCATCACCACCACCCACTCATCATCCGCATCCTCTTTTCTCTTGTTCTGACGCCATGACTTGAAGGGGCATGGCATGTGCGACCCCCTACACGGGGAGGGTGGCGGCACGCTTCCAGGCAGGACTATAACAAAAAGGCTAGCACGAGGAGGCGCGGTACGGATCCGCCGATCGCCGCTTGCCGGGGATAAAAAAGGCCGTCCGCCGTTCGCCCTCCCCTGGGGTCCAACAGCCCGTCCTAGGGGGCAGGGGGGGCCAGAGCTCGCCGACCCCCCTCTGGGGCCCTACTCAAAGAACTCCGAGGTACCCAAGATGCCTGCTAAGCTGGCTCAAGCTGTGCTCCGACACACCGAAGAGGCATCACAAACAGCCAAGATGGCTTCAACACTGCCCAAGAGGACTCAAAGACGACCCCCAACAGGGCCCCTAAAAAGCACAAACATCGTCCCACTCCCTAGCGGCATGGGTAACAGTGTGAAGTGTACCTTCTAAAGCAACGACGGCACCCTTGGATGCCTGGCAACGGGCACCGATACCAACACAGGGTGGTGCCTCCACCAGGGGAAGATGATCCTAGATCTTGGTGTCCGTGGTGATCTTTCGGCCACGTACAAGGTCCGAGCATTGCCACGATTACCCAGATCGGGATCATTTTCCCTCAACCTCTGGGCCTCCGACACCGAGATCCCTGGACTGTGCTGCCGTGGGACAGAAAGAACGCCGACAAGCATATGGCCGTCCCGAGAGGCGGGGCCGAGGCGGCCCCATGGTTGCTCGAAGGGTCGACCAGGCGTCGCGCACGTCAGGGGGGAGAAGGGCGGGCACGGAGCAGACGTGCAACCACTGGACACACCTCAAACAAAAAACACCCTGGGGTATTCTTCGAACATGTTTTGGGAGTGTTCCTTAAAGATAGGAAGCGATAGTTTTGGAGTATTTCTGATGTCTCTGGTATTCCAGCCCTGTAGAACACATTCCCGCCATAACACTATGGGAGCCAGACGACGAGAAACGAAATACGAGACAACGCGGGAACGAGCCCAATCCACCTGCCAGAGCACAATGCACGCAGCAGCGCGAGGTGGCCGAGCGGTCTGGCACCGTCCCTGGGCGCGCGGCTGCAGTGGCACCCCGCGGCGCGGACTGGGCTTGTCTGGTGCTGCTGTCGTCGTCCTCGCCCGCGGCCCGCCCCGCGAGGCGCCCGCAGACCCCCGCGACCCCCCCCCCGCGCCCCCCACCCCCCGGGGGTCATCGTTTGGCTCTCTGGCGGCCGTTCGGGACGATCCGGGCACCCCCGGGCGCCTCTGCGAGGCGCAGCTGCTGGAGAGCACCCCGGGGCCGGAAAGCCGCCGAGGACCGACGAAAGCGTTCGAACACCCACGGCAAGGAGCTTTTGCTTAGCGCAGCGTGTCTCCAGGCGGTCCTGGCGACCCGCGATGCCCTGCAAGCGGCTAGCGAGTCGCTCCGCTCTGCGGGGCGGAAGGCTGGGCAAGGTTCGGGATGTTGACGCTCGGGAGTGGGGAGGTTGACGCCCGAGACGGCCCAAGAGGCCCCCAAGAGGGTCCCTTAACGGCCGAAGAGGGCCCCAAGACGGCCCAAGACGCCTCCAAGACGGCCCAAGAGGAAATTGCCCAGGAGGCCTCGAAGAGTGCCTCGAGACGGCGCAGGAGGAGCCCTGGACGGCCCAAGACGGCCTCAAGAGTGCCCCAGTCTGTCCCAAGAAAGCCTCTGGCCTCCTCCTCCTCCTCCTCCTCCTCCTCCTCCTCCTCCTCCTCCTCCCCCAGCCCTCTGCTCCCCCTCCTCCTGCTCTCCTCTGCCTCCTTCTCCACCTCTTGCTTCTCCTCCACATCCTTCTCCCCCCTCCTCCTCCTCCTCCTCCTCCTCCTCCTCCTCCTCCTCCTCCTCCTCCTCCTCCTCCTCCTCCTCCTCCTCCTCCTCCTCCTCCTCCTCCTCCCCCCCCTCTGCTCCCCCCTCCTCCTCTCTCCTCTGCCTCCTTCTCCTCCTCTTGCTTCTCCTCCCACATCCTCTCCCACTCTCCTCCTCCTCCTCCTCCCTCCTCCTCCTCCTCCTCCTCCTCCTCCTCCTCCTCCTCCTCCTCCTCCTCCTCCTCCTCCTACTCCTCCTCCTCCCCTCATCCACCTCCCCCACCCTTCCTCCACCTCCCACTCATCCTCCTCCCCCTGCCGCCCCCCCTCGTTCTCATCTTCGTCGTTCTCAGGGTCGGCGGCACTGGCCGTAAGACCTTCGCAATACTACACCAGAGAAACACCCCAATCAGTGGATGGTCCGAAAGATTTGCAAGCACCATGCCTGGCCGCAGTTTCGCAAGAGGGCCCTAAGAGGCTAACTCATTGATTGCCCTTGCGTGTTGGAAAGGTTGTGGCATCCTCGTCATTTTGGGCATCCGTCGGCTCAAACTGGCCTAAGAGGTCTCCAATATTACCCCAGGACGGCGCACGAGGGGCCCAAGATGATCCAGGCGGGCCTCAAGAGGTACCCTCGACAGTCTGAGAGGGCCCCTCGACGACTCAAGAGGGCCACAACACGTCCCCATGAAGGGCCGGAAAAGACAGAAAACAAATAAAACAAAAACAAAACTAGAGAGAAAAAAAGAAAAAGAGAGAGGGGACGCCCACCGACAGCCGCCCAACGAGAGCCGCCCACCGAGATCGGCCGGCTGATTTCGCCAATCTCTTGAGGGGGCGCCCACCGAAAGCCGTACTCCGGGAGCCGCCCACCGACATCGGCCGGCTGCCTTCGCCAATCCCTTCCAATGTCCCTTCAATGTCGCCCAGGGGGGGGGGGCGGGTGCCCGCCCCCCTCTGAGCGTGCACCCGCCCCTGGCGCAGCCGCCGACACACCGGCCGACGGCGCGGCCAACGCCCTGGCGGGCCACCCAGGGCGTCGCCGTCGTCGTCGTCGTCGCCGTCGCCGTCGTCGCCGCCGCCGCCGTCGCCGCCGCCGCCGCCGACGTCGCCGCCGTCGTCGTCGGCGTGTCGGCGCCGTCGTCGTGTCCGTCGTCGCCGTCGTGGCCGTCGTCGCCGTCGTCGTCGTCGTCGTCGGCGGCGGCGGCGGCGGCGTCGAAGGCGTCGCCGTCGCCGTCGCCGTCGCCGTCGTCGGCGTCGCCGTCGTCGGCGTCGCCGTCGTCGGTATCGTCGTCGTCATCGTCGTCGTCGTCGTCCTCGTCGTCATCGTCATCGCCGTCGACGTCGGCGTCGGCAACGGCGTCGTCGGGGTGGTCGTCGTCGGACCTGGCGCAGCCGCCGACGCTGGCCGACGGCGCTGCCCGCGGATGCGGCGGCGGGGCCGGCGGGCCTCGGTCCGCGCTGCCGTACGCCGCGGCCCGGGCGGGGCGGGCGGGCGGGGCCTGGCGGGCCCCGGGGGAGCGGAGGCGGCGGGGCCTTCTCGGAGGCGGCGGGGCCTCGGAGCAGGGCCTGGCGGGGCCTTCTCGGAGGCGGCGGGGCCTTCTCGGAGGCGGCGGGGCCTCGGAGGAGGCATCTCGGGAGGCCAGTCGGGTCGCTCGTCGGCGGGGACGCGCGCAGATGGGCTGCGCGCGGGGGGGGAGAACGGCCTCGACTCTCGTGAGCGCATGGAGACGCGCCGCGGCGCGAGGCACCCTCGAGCTGCGGCAGCGCAGCGCGCCGCCGCAGGCAGTGGCCCGCGGCCCCCGCCCTGCTAGGATCGCGCCTCGCACCCAAGCCTGGGTCGCGGGGAGGCCGGACAGGACAGGCCCAGACCCCCTCGAGTCATGAAAAAATCATGGCGGGAGGTGTTTCACTGTGTGCGGCCTCTGGGGGCCCATATCGGCCATCGGGGCCGTCAAAGAACGATTCAGAATGAAACGCCAGTCCCAGAGCCTGGCGGGCAGCGGGGGAGCGGGGGAACGGGAAGGGGGAAGGCGGGAGATGGCAGAATGGGGGGGGAGGACGGAGGAGGGGGAGGACGAGGGGAGGAGGAGGAGGAGGAGGAGGAGGAGGAGGAGGAGGAGGAGGAGGAGGAGGAGGAGGAGGAAACCTTGGCAGCTGTCTGGGGTTCTATTGCATGTAACCCTGTTGCTGCTAGCGCGGTAAATCGGCGATTCGGCGGGCCGCCTACGGGACCCTTGGTTTTTTAGCCTCTCGGCCCGCTGCAGCGCGGGGCCGTCCCGTAAGAAAAAAAACAAAGATGTTATGGATACGGCAGGGGCTTTGGGCCTGCTGGCCAATCGCCCCTGACTCAGGGCTTGTCCCTGTGAAGCAGTCTTCCCGCCGCCACCCCCACTCCCCACTCCTCCCGCTCCCCCCAGACCCGCTAGTACTGCTGCTGCGCTTTCTATCGCTGCTCACATGTCTAGTGTCTGGCCCCGCGTCCACGATCCCGTGGTTTGGAACCGATGATCCGCTGGGGACCTTCCCGACAGGCCACTGCAACAGGAAGAGGAAGAGGAGGAGGAGGAGGAGGAGGAGGAGGAGGAGGAGGAGGAGGAGGAGGAGGAGGAGGAGAGGAAGGAGGAGGAGGAGGAGAGGAGGAGGAGGAGGAGGAGGAGGGATGAGAGCGGAGGAGGAGGAGGAGGAGGAGGGAGGAGAGGAAGGAGGAGGAGAGGAGGAGGAGGAGGAGGAGGATGGAGGGATGGAGGGATGGAGGGATGAGAGGAGGAGGAGGAGAGGGAGGAGAGGAGAAGGAGGAGGAGGAGGAGGAGAGAGGAGGAGGGGAGGGGGAGGAGGAGGAGGAGGAGGAGGAAGGAGGAAGAGAGGGGAGAGGAGACATCTAGGTGCGCTCGCGTCATATCTGACGTCCTACCCCTCCCTCCCATCCCTTACCATGGCGCTGATTTTCTCTATCCGCGGACGCGTGTCGTAGCGGACCTGTGGCTCCGCGCGCGCGTGCGTAGTGGGTGGTGGTGCACGTGCGTGCGTGCGTGCGTGTGTGCGTGGTTGTCGTGGTGGTGGTGGTGGTGGTGGTGGTGGTGGGGTGGTAGTGGTGGTGGTGGTGGTGGTGGTGGTGATGTGGTTGGTGGTGGAGGAGGAGAGGAGGAAGAGAGGAGGAGGAGGAGGAGGACCGGAGGAGGACGAGGAGGAGAGGGAGGAAGAGGAGGAGGAGGAGGAGGAGGAGGAGGAGCGGACCGTAGGGGGAGGGCGCGCCTGGGTCGGCGCCAGGATGCACCGCGGTGGCGCGGTCAGCTCTCTGCGGAGGGGGGGCAGCAGCAGGAGGTTCGAGCGCAGGGGGGCGGGAAGAGATGGACAGGCCAGGCGGGCGAGAGGCCAGACAAGTAGCGTCGAAAGGACGCCAAGCACTGGCTCCAGATTCGGCAGGCCAGACAGGTCCCAGCTCAAAGCCAGACAGAGCGCCCACATGGGTATCCTCAGGGGCACTCAGAATGCGAGAATCCAAAGGGGCCTCAAGCGGGGCGTCATGAGCATCAGCAGTGGCGTGGGCCTACATCTGATAATAGACTGGCCCCGAGCTCGAAGAGGCGGTTGGCGCAGTCGATGGAGGGGCCAGCGAGGGTGCAGCAGCACTCAGGGTCGATGAGGACCACGTCTGCGGGCCCGGTGCCGAGCTCCGTGGGGTAGTCGACCAGATCCATCCGCGCCTCGACCATATGGCAGCCCTGGACGGTACGGGAGTCGCAACATCCTCCTCGCAATTTGTTTGAGCCTGAAGCACTGGGTTCGAGGAGCACCCGTGCACAGGACTTTGCGTTCTGACCACTTCAGCCGTCGTGGGGTCCAACAGCGGAGACCCGCACGCCATTCCAGTTAAATCCTCGCAACTTACTCTAGATGCCTGAAGCAGCGGGCTCGAGGAGCACCCGCCGTCAGGACTTTGCGTTCTGACCTCGCCCCTTTCATAGCGTGCCAAGTGGAGAGCACCCCTGCACGGCCGAGACTCGACCTCGCAACTTACTCCAGCAGCCTGACCAGACGGGCTCGAGGAGCACCCGCTGACAGGACTTTGCGTTCTGACATCAATAACCGTCGGAAGCACCCAGTCGCCGTCATACAGAGCGTGCAAGGGGCCGACGCGGTCGGGGGTTGCTACAGCCGTCGAGGGCGTGCCAGGCGTCGCCAGCGGCGTGCGTGGGCAAAGGTCGAACGACACCAGCTCATCATCATCAGCGTCCGTGTCATGCGGCTCGGGAATCAGCATCGGCGCAAGACCAAGGCCGTCGTCCAAATCCGTACCGCTCGCACACCCACACGTCGGAGATGAAACCGAGGTCGAGGTGGTAGACGATGAGGGGGACGAGCCTCGTCTCCGTCGGGTCAGAAAGCGGGCGTGCCACCGCGGCGGCGCGTCGTCCGAGAGCACAGCAGTAGTGGCCATGCGCATGCTCCTCACTCCCGCAAGCGCAGCACTGAATGCGTCCTGCTCTGAGATCGGCCAATCGGGAATCAGGCGAACCGTGTTGCACATGCTCACGGCTGCTGCAATGGAGCCATATGCGGAGGTCGAGGGCGACGCGAGACCCCATCTCTCCGCAAGCTCCATAGGGAAGCCATGACCAAGGGCGCGGCGTAGTGCGGCATGCATGCGTACACACCGCGAGTAGTGGATGAGCGAGTCAGCGCATTTGTGGCATCCAAAGGCACATGCACGCTTCCCCGCGGGATGGAGAATGCGCGAGGAAGTAAGCCAGCCATCGCACCAGGTCCTCAGCGTCGCCCAAGCCCAGGAGCAAGGGCATTGGCTGAGCGTGGTAGAGATATGTTGCCAGTCGAGCTGGTCGAGAAGGGTACCGTGCCGTCGGAAGAAGAACTTCTGAAGCCGCGTGCGCAGGAACTCACGTAGTGGCGCCACTGGAGCCGCAAGATCACGAAGAGCACGATGGACAGTCCGCTGAGGTCGAACTCGAACGCCAGGCGAGACATCCGAGACCTTCGCAAGAGCATCACGGGCGCAGGGCAGAAGAGCAGCCCAGGGCCCCGCAGGAGCAGGGCCGCCCAGGGCGCGCGCAAGGTTCTCGACAATGGCGGGGCTCCGCCAGAAGCCAGGGTAGAGTGCACCCGTGCCGACCATGTCCAGCGTCCTGGAGTCAGCCAGCGCCTCAAAGTGGGTCCGCATGCCGTCCAGCAGCTGCTGGTGCCCGGGGAATGTGTGAGCGGCCGATCACATCATGGTGGCCATGTTGAGATGGGCCCAGCGTTGTGCCCGCGGTCCTTGCCAGAGGTCTATCTGCACCCATGCATGCAGCGGGAAGGTGCCCAGGGCCATACGGTAAACTTGTGCGAGCACTCCTAATTCACAGGCAAGTACATCTCTCGGCATCCAAAAGAACTGACTGACGTAAGAAAGTGTGGTGATAATGCGCGTATTGTAGATGATGGAAGAGAGGCTGGCAAGGGTGGCGCCTCGCCCGGCAGCTCGAGCCCGCAGCCGCGCCTTAGCAAGTGGGTCGGCCCAGGGTCTCATTGGGTCCACGGAGGGACCAAGCCATATCCCAAGATAGAGGAGCTCCGAGACGATCTTCATGGAGGACCAGTGGGGCACAGCCTGGGAGAGCCTCCCCAGAGCTTCCAGAGCGAGGGCAGGACAAAAGGAGGCTGATAGAGGGACCACGTGGCACTTGTGAATCTTCAAGACTAGGTTCGCAATCAACTCCGCATCCCTCATCGCCAGGGCGACCCAGGCCATGTCCTCAATGGTCACCAGAGTGCCGCCGATGTCGTCGGCGCACGCACGCGCGAGCCCGCGGCCTGCCTCCTCGGTCACGCGGGCGAGGTGGCACAAGAACGGGGATGACGCAATAGCATACAACGAGCCCGATAACGCACAACCTTGGATGATCCCACTGCGGACCCAGTACAGGTGAACACGGAGCCCCATGGAGATCGCGATACCCTCGATGGCCTCATAAAAAGAACCCAACGAACATCAGGATAGCCCCTGGAAGACGAAGGGCCCCCGGAATGAACCGCAGGAACTCCTGATTCAGGGAGGGGAAGGCCTGGCCGTAGTCCAGACTGTAGAGAATAGGTAGGTCCCGCGAACCGCGCGGTGCGCAAGAGAGCTGGCGGCTCGACACGTCCAGCTCCAGCACATTCAGGCCGAAATTACGCCCTGGAACAAAGCCCCATTGACAGGGAGGGGCGACACGTTCGAGGACGGGGCGAAGGGCAGCATTCACGGTGGCTGAGAGGACCTTCACGTCGCAGTTGCGGAGACCGAGCGCCCTCACCTTGTCCGCCCCCCTCTCGACCTGGCCGACTTGGGCCTCGTCCTCGACAGCATTTTTGTGCAAAAAGACCTGGGGCGCGAGGCTCGCAGCATCAAACAACGCCTGGCCCCTCATCACCCACTCCAGACAGTCCCAGAGGATGGTCACGCCAAAGGGCACGGATCTCCACGCCGCATACGAAAGCCCATCGCATCCAGTCGCAGAGTCGGCGGCACGCGCAAGCACAGCACGCAGGAGGCGAGGGGTCGGGGGAGGAAGTACCACTTTATCAACAGCAGGTAAGTATTGAGCGGCATACTCGATCGCCCCGTCGCGGCCCCAAGATTTCTTGGAGAACACGGGGCCCCAGTAGCTCTTCAGGAGGTCCACGCGTTCGGAGGGGTCACGCGCAGCGCGGCCATGGTCATCGGTGACCGCCGTCAGGCATACTCGACGATGTAACGGAGACCACAGACGAGCCCGTCTCTCCAGCGATCGCAGCTGCAACCGAGCGGCGCGCACTTCATGAGATGAATCCGTTCCTCTTTGCAGCTCAGCCCGCGCACGCTCCGCCGCCCCCCACTGGAGTCGGTCAGACCACGCAGGAAAGGACTCAGGATGCAACAGCTCTACCACACGGCCTTGGACACGAATGAAGTCAGACGACACGGGATGGGACTCCAGAAGCTTCCAAGCCAACTTCACATCCTGACGCTACACCACTCTGGCTAATGAGCGAGCAAGCCGGAGCAGGGTGGACGGGTGGTGGGGGCGCCGTCGGAAATCATTATCACGTGCTTCGCGCGCAGCTTCTTTCATGAGATACTTGTAGTGCTCTAATCGGTAAGGAGGTGACATACGATCCCAGTCAGTACATTCAATCATCGCTCGTAAACGCCCCTGGTACCTCGGGTCCTGGAAGAGATGTTTGGCGAGAGGGCGTTCGGCAGGAGAACGGGCAGCACGGGGGGTAATCGTGATCACAACGGCAGCGTGGTCCGAGACGATCGAGTCTGAAACGGACGCCGCAGAGTCGATGGTGGCGGCCTGGAGATGACGTTGGCAGACCATCCACCCTGGAAGAGAGAGAGGAAGAGGCGATCAATAATGGCCTCAGAGTTGGACTTTTTCTCGTAATGCGACCCCATATCGCACTCCACTTCAACGAGCTGCGACAGGGCCTGGCGCCAGACTTGGGCGCGCCCATGATGTTGTCTCGCCGCACGTCGCACAGCGGCCCGAGGCATGTGGAGAATGACCGCCTCCTCCGCAGCAAAAATTGAAGTCGCCCACGACCCGCGCGAGCCGCTGGGAGGGGGCACGAAGCGCAGTAGCACGAGCCTCGAGGATAATCCGGACGATCTCTCTCACCTGCGCTCTCTTCAGGTCATGGTTGTGCGCATTGAAGATGTCCATGCATGCCGATCCACACTCGACGGTAACATGCAATACTCGACCAGGTGCAAGAGCCACCGCGTGGCTTCGCACGCGTTCTCCAGCTGCCTGACAAAATTGAAGAAGAAGAACCGCAACACCCCCACGGATTCGGTCCGCACTTGAGTCACCACAAAACGACGCGCGCAACGTCAGCGACTCCCCCAACGGACCCAGAAACCCACGAAGTTGAAGTTCGCCTTGTCTGACTTCCTGCAAGCACACGATAGAGGGAGCAGGCTGAAGACGGAGTAGGTCGCTAAGTTTGCGTGCGCCATTGTTGCCGGCATGTTGGAGCAATGCACGGGCATTCCATGTGACAGCCCTCATGGAGCACACAGGAGACGAAGATGAAGGCGAAGTACATTTGAACAACTTCCAAACGTCAAAGACACCACTGTGGCTCAGCCTCAGGTTCGACAAGAGGGGCCAGCAACGCCATGAGGTCGGCTTTGACGAGATCGTGCTTCGCCAGCTGCTGCGTGTCCCAGTAGAACTCCGCAGGTTTGTTGCCAGGGTGGACCTCCACACGCATGATACGATCCCACCCAATGGATAGCGTGGCACGCTCTCTGTCCGTGAACAACCGCAAGTTCGGATGACGGTCGGCGATGAGTCCGCGAGCCCTCCGCAGGAGGATTTCGATCTGGCGCGGCGACTTGTCGGGGCCCAGGTGGATGCGGCAGCGCGGGCTGCCAGGGACCTCGACAGTGAACTCCTTCCAGACACCCTCGGAGCGCAGGGAGCCGATGACTTTCGCCGCCATCCTGGACGCGACGGCGACGCGGCCGTTGAAGCGGATGTGAAACTTCTTGGCCGGCACTGTGCCGACAGGAACAATGTCGTAGAGGTCGTCGGCCAGGCCGAGTGACGCGATCCAAGGCCGTAGCTCAGCCTCGACACAAGCTGCGGTGGTTGGCCGCCGGGCCATAGCCACGACCAGCGCGGCGTCCACCTCCCTGTCGAAGCCTTTTCGGCTGAGTGAGAGGAGCGCGGGGCCGCTGTTCAGCCAAGTGGAGCTCCTTCTTGAGGGTCTCCATCTGGGACTGAAATTCCAGCATCTGGGCCTCAACCTTCGCAACACGCCGCGGGCGGCTGCACCAGCTGCGCGCGGAGCTGGTCCAGCACCTCAAGAGTTGGCTCGTTCTGGATCTCAATATTCTGCTTGATGGTGGCGGTGAGCGACTTGCTGATGTCAGCGGCCAGCTCGTCCCGCATCGTGTCGAGCATGTCCGCGCAGCACTGCTTGATATAGTCCTCAGAGGCGTCGCCGTCGTCGTCGAGGTGGGGCGGCATATCATCGTCTTCGGCGGCGATAGCAGGTTGGCCATGAGGGGGACGAGCACGCCGTTCGTGAGCAGCGCAACTAGCGATACGAGCAGGAACGCAGCCTTTGCCCTTGCCTGCTTTGCCTTCTTGGGGCGGGAAGGTCGGTGCAAGCTCCAGCAGCTCTGCCTGAGAGGCAGAGATCTCGCCAGCAAGGGCGCCATCAGCCATCACTCGCAGCAGTATTGGAGCGGGGCAAGACTTGGCGGGGGCCCAACTCCCGCGGTGAAGGCACACAAAGATAACAAGGCACCAGAGGACTGGTTTGGAGAGTGGCCTCAAAGCGGAACCTCCCTCGCGCTCAGAGGTCGCCCCGAAAGACTCGCGGTCGTCGGGACGGTTCATAGCCTTGAGCCAAAACGGCTACGGAGGAGGAGGAGGAGGAGCAGGAGGAGGAGGAGGAGGAGGAGGACTCGAGCTCACGAGGTGACGGCGCAGGCCTCACATGCCGCAGGGGCCATCGCGCGGCGCGCCGTCGCACGCGCGCCGCAAGTTCCTCCGAAGAGGAGAAGGGCGACCCCCATGAGCAGCATGGAGATCATGAGGACGGCGACGATGGATGCGCCTGCCTGGCCACAGGCCCGCCGCCACCAGCCAGGCCGACGAGCGTCATGACGTCCAGCTGTCACGCTCGGCCAAGTGGCCACCGCGGGAACGGGCCAGCGGAAGCGAGGCGCCGACGGGACCGACGACCGCGGCATCGCGAGGATCGCCACCAAGTGCGCCAGGAGCAGCACGAAGAGAAGGCCGAGGCGCCCCACGCGCCCAGCAGCTCCCCTAGGAACTCTCAGCCGTACCAACCCCCTCCTCCTCCTCCTCCTCCTCCTCCTCCTCCTCCTCCTCCTCCACCTCCACCTCCTCCACCTCCGCCCATCCCCCTCCATCCCTCCTCCTCCTCCTCTTCCTCCTCCTCCTCCCTCCCTCCTCCATCCCTCCTCCATCCCTCCTCATCCCTCCTCCATCCCTCCCATCCCTCCTCCATCCTCCTCCTCCATCCTCCTCCCATCCCTCCATTCCCTCCTCCATCCCTCCTCCATCTCCTCCATCCCTCCTCCATCCCTCCTCCATCCCCTCCTCCATCCCTCTCCATCCCTCCTCCATCCTCCTCCTCCTCCCTCCCCTCCTCCTCCTCCTCCACCTCCTCCTCCTCCATCCCCCCCCTCCTCCTCCTCCTCCTCCTCCTCCGCCTCCTCCTCCTCTCCTCCTCCATCCCCCCCTCCTCCTTCCTCCTCCTCCTCCTCCTCCTCCTCCTCCTCCTCCTCCTCCTCCTCCTCCTCCTCCTCCTCGCCTCCGCCAGACGGGTGCGGGAACAGGGGTGGGGCCGCTGGGAAGTCACCCTGGTCGGTGCCCTGGGGGGGGGGGGCGGCGCCCGCGGCAGGCTTGGTAACTCCAGGGGGGCTCGCGGGCCCGCCTGGCGTGCAGCCGAGTTCTTTCGCTCAGCGCCGACGACCTCCGCTCCAGCCTCCAGACCTCCGACGACGCTCCTGAGCTGGGCGAGGGCTGGCCAAACCGTGGCCAATAAAACGCTCTTCCCTGAAGAAGCCAACAACTTCCCGGAACGCAGCGCGGCGCGCGAAACGGTGAGCGGGGCCTCTTCCCAGACGGAAGAGGTCCTTTCCGGGAATTCTGTTTTTGCAGCCACGGGTTTGCTTGACTTCGCCTGGCCGCAGCTCGGCCTGGAGATGGATATTGAACGTGTTTTGCGCCAGTGTGTCTGGTAAGACAAGCGCCAAAAGTTCCAAAAGATCGAGCCAAGCAACCGCACCCGCACTCACTCATCCTATTCTGCACGTGCCTCGCAGACACCAACAGAATAAGCACCATCACGCCAGAATTGCCTTCTTCGACGGAGAAGGGACCACACAGAGCTCTGCGCTCACTCGAGGCTCGCTACCGCCAGGGACGACTCAGAGCGGCCGCGTTCCCACGTCTTCTGCAGAGACATTTTCTGGACGCAGTCCCCAGAAGGAGCGATGACGTCATCGTGGTCGTCTTCTCCAAGCAGACCTCCAACAGGAAGTCCTGCTCGCCCCAGATGCTTCACGTACACGTTCAAGTAGCGGAGGCCACCGTCCGTACGCCCGTGGGCGACCTTCAGCTCAACCTGTGAACGCAACAGTGGATGGCCAAACGCAACCCACTGCGGGGTCTCCGCGGCGCTCTGCGACACGCTGTAGTGGTACCCACCCGCCTGCCGCGCCTCTGCCCAGGACCCCGTGACGTTCACCTCTTGGAAATACATGTCCGCGCACTGCCCGCCCAGGCGGCGCGCGTCGGCCTGCACGCGAAGCAGGGCCTGCTCGGCGCCCTCCCCGCGAGGGATGCGTACCAGGACGTGCTTGCCCTCCTTCATCAGGTCGAACCTCTCGCCGTGGACGTTCTGCAGGTGGGGGTCGCCAACGGCGGAGGCCCCCCCCGGTGGGGGCGGCGAGCCAGCCGAGATGGTGATGTACATAGTCCACGTGGGCCCCGCAGATGCTGCCGTCTGGCCCCTCGCACACCGCCACGGTCGTGCCGGCTGGCAGCGTCGAAGACGTGAACGTCTTCAGGAACTCGCCCGGCGTGGACGCGTCGACGCTGTCGATGATGGTGCCGGACACCGCGGTGTCAGAGCTCCGGGCGAAGTCCGAGTAGACGTGCACCGGGCACGTGCTGCTCCAGGCGGCCTCGCGGCCGTACCGAATCTCGACCGTGGCCGCGCTGACCAGGGAGAACTGGAGGCACCCAACCTTCTCCCAGCCTGCGTGGAACTCGGTCGCCCCCTGGTCGCCGTAATCCGCCACCGCGCTTGCAGCGGCTGGCGCGTTGTGGCGGGCCCTTCCGTCCCTCGTCCCTCTCTCGGTCCCTGCGGAGCAGCAGTGGGGCCCATCCGGCCCAGCATGCCTCCACTGTTGCTGGCCAGGTCCCTGCGTTGCTAGCCTTTCCCACAGAAGGTCGTGCCCAACCCAAGAGGCTGGGGCTGGCCATCGCTCGGACGTCCATTCCCTGTGCTTTTTTCGGTTTGCGTGGTTTTTTCGCCGAATGGTCAAGGATGCTCCTCAATGGTCCCCGCCGAAGGAAAAATGCACACGTCCGAGCGATGCCAAGGGGGATGGGCTCATCTGTGGCACCCACCCCGCCCCCCCGCAGGCGCCCGCCCGTCACCGCCGCTGCCCAACTCCTGTCCCCCGAACGGCTCGAAGAGGGCCCTCAAGGCCCGAGCAGTGCCTCCTACAGGCCCAGAACTGCCGCCAGGTTGGGCAGGATTGCCCCACACGGTCTGCACGATGGTCCAAAACAGCTCCCAAGACGGCCGCCATGGTCTAAAAACGGCTCAAGAGGATCCCCAGGAGGGCCGAATAACGCGAGAGCATTCGCACGTCTTCAAGCAGCGGAAGTGCCATCACCGCCAACGGGGCCTCCAAGATGGCCCCAGGATGGCTCAAGAGGCCTCCAAACAGAGGGCCTCCGAGAAGCCCCGAGTGGCCACAAGGCCGAGGGGCCACCAGACCACCCTCCCCCAAGGCGCCCGCCCGAGCGCGGTGGCGGAATCGCGCGGCAGCGCAACTTCAAGAAGGGCGTGTACGCGCCTCCAGTGACGCAGCCGTCGCTCGTGCCGGCGAAGTCCCCGCTCCTGGGAGTGTACGTGCAGCTGCGCCCCAGCGTGCCGTTCGCTTGGGTGAGGACCTGCAGCCCGTCGGCACGGAGCAGCGTGGCAGCGCAGAGCAGCGAAAACGACCGGAGTCCCATCGCCCTGGTGGCGCGACCAAGACCTGGCCATCGCTCGGACGTCCAGTTCTTGTGCGTTTTTCGGTTTCGTGCGTGGCTTTTTCGCGAAGTGATCAAGGATGCTCCTCGATGGTCCTCGCCGAAGGAAACATGCACACGTCCGAGCGATGCCAAGAGACGAGGTGTGCTGCAGCCAGACGATGAAGTACTGGCGCACCAGGCAGAGTGCAGTAGCAGAGTGTGGAGTGTGCTCGGCGGCTGCCCTGAGCCTTCGAGGTCGACTGCGGCCGCCTACGTTGTGCAAGCTGGCGCAACGCAGCAGCATGATGCTGACTCCCGATACACACGCATCAAAACGACGCAACCGTGCTCCGGCGCTTTTCCTGATCACCCTCCCCCTGGAATGCCACAGGGGGGTTGGCCGCGGCGCGCCCGCGGGGCTGCACGGAGAGTGTGAGTCGGTCATTTCTCCGCCGGGGGTGCGAGGGATAAGTGCTGGGGATGGTTGGTCGCTCTGCAAGTTTCCCGCGTGCCACCCCCCCACCACTCGACAGATCAGAAGCTTGGACTGCGGCGATCACGCACGATTCGCGTCCGAAAGATGGGCTCGTGGCACGCACTCGCGCGCGCGCGCTTCGGTGCAGCTCGCGCTTCGCGCACAGCGCAACGGAGGATCGCCGCTGTCTCGACTGGGGCGACAGCGTGCCCGTCACCAGCCCGCGCCATGGAGCCTGAGCAGGGCATAGCGGTGGCCTCCTGCGGGACAAGTCGACCTCGTAGTCTTCCTGTCTCCTCCTCTTCCTCGTGCTCCTCGTCATGTAAATCATCCTCCTCCGCCTCCTCCATCCTCTGCACACACGTCGTTCATGCCTAATCGTGCTCGTTTCTAATCGTGCTCGTTTCTAATTGCTCCTGGCCCCCCAGTGGCCAAGAAGAGGCCCAGGGTAGAACAAGCAGAAACGAAAGGACCTTGGCCCCCCCCGAAAATCAAAGAACTTTCGAATACTTAGGAATGAAGCATGTGTACTGCTGCCCGCTCCTCCTCATCCAGCTCCTCTGCCGACCGCTGTCCTCCCTCTCCTCCCTCCTCCCTCCTCTGGTCGCCGTCCTCCGTCTTCCCTCCCCGCGCACGCGGGGGGGAGAGAGGAGAGAAGGGGGGGGACAGGGAAGGAGAAGGGATGGTGGGGGAGAGGAAGGGGGAGGAAGGCAGAAACGGAGGAGGAAGCTGGGAGAGACGAGGGGAGGGGGATTCCAGTCGAGAGGGGCAATAATCAGGATGCACGACAAGAATGCAAGGGCTTTGGAAGGCCACGTTGGCATTGGTCATCAATGCAATGCAAGGCATACGGATGCAAGGCACAACCTACGGATGCAAGAGTACCCGTGGCAAGATGTACTCCTTACCTATGTGACCACCCATCGGGAGATGAGGAGGTTCAGGGGGGCAACGTCTACTTCAATCGATCCCCCTACCGATTCTCACTCGACCGATGCCACCATAGCCAACTCACTATCGATCTCACTACCGATCTCAATCGGCCGATCCCACGCGACCGGTCTCATGGTCGATCTCACATTCGACCTAAATGTCGATCACACTATCGATCTGACTACCGATCTCGTTATCGACCTCACTATCCACCTAACTACCGATCTCACGATCGATGTCACTCTTGCTCTTGATGGCGATATCGAGTTCAGTACCAGCATCGATCTCACAGTCGATCTAACTTTCGATCTCATTCGGCCGATCACAGTATCGATATCGCAGTCGATCTCGGTATCGACCTAACTACATATCGTTGTCATTGTCGATCCTCCAACACATCTCACTATAGATCTCACCATTAATCTCACCATCGACATCCCCGACCGACATCACTATCGCTCCCACTATCAATATCTCACGATCGATCCAGCTACCTATCACAACACCTATCTCGATATCTCATTGACTACCGATCTCACGAACGATCTCAAAGCATAGCACTGCGATGCAAAAGTAGCATAGCACCAAGAGGCACAGCGAGACACCACAGGACAACAAGGGACACCTGGCGGGTACGCTGGTCAGGCCGGCCACCGCCAGGTGAATCACCAAGAAGACCACCAGGAGGACCGCCAGCGAAAACGATGCCGAAGCAAACCAAGGGTAGGGAAGCGTGGTGCTGACCCCCGAAGAGGCGTACGCTCGCAACTCCTCCAGGAGCTCTCAGCCGCACCGACCCCGCGAGGTGGGCGTGCGCTGGTCAGGCCGGCCCTCCGCCAGGTGCACCCTCAGGAAGATCACCAGGAAGATCGCCAGCAGTCAGGAGGCCCTCGGCGGCCAAAGCAGCCAGTGCCCACCACGCCTCCAGCGCGACGAGACGTGCACGAGCATCGCGCCAAGCTCCAGCAGCCTCACGCATGCGACCAGGGGGGCGGGTGCGCCCTGCCTCGCGCAGGCCGTGCTCACGGCTGGCCACGACCGTCCGCGCATGCTCGACGACCACTGCGATGGCACTGCTGAGGTCGTGGGTCGGCATGCCCGGGGGGGGGGGAGGGAGGCTGGGGAAGCAGCCCCCGCCACACGCTCCGCCTCGGCCGCCGCAGAGGCCGCCTCGAGGACGGCATCGTCATCCTCGGCGGCCCCCTTCGCTCCGCCCCTGGGCCTCCTCCAGCCCCGCGCCGCGCCAGCGTGGCCGACCTGCGCGAGCTCCTGCGCCGACGCTGCCCGCGGCTCCGCCGGGTCCAGCGACCCGCACGCCGGGAGCCCTCGGGGACTGAGAGAGCGAAGCGGCCTCGGCCTCCGCGCCGCGCCCGCTGCGGCCGTGCCCCGACCGCCGACCCAGCCGCTGGGCGCTGGCGGGACGGGCGGAGGCTCCCAGACTCCGTCGGCACCATCAGGAGACGCGGCCACCTCCGCGCCCGCGGCCGCAGCCGCGAGCCCGTCCGCCGGTGCCGCGTGGAGCGCCCGGGCAGGGCCAGGCGGGTCCTGGCCGCGATGGCCCTGGACCTCGGCGAGCGCCCGGAACAGCCGCGTGGCCGCCCGCGCCTCCCCGCGGGCACACCGACTGGCCCCTGCGCTCGGCGGCGGAGCGATTGGGGCGACGCCGCCGCCGACGGCGCGCCGTCCGCAGCTCGAGCCATCACCAAACAGCGAGGAGAAAACGAGGAGGATGCGGAGCCAGGGCTCCGCGGCGCTGGCTCGGCGGCGAGCCAATGGCTCGGGCCGGGCTGGCGCTTGGGGGGGGAGGAAAAGGAGGAGGGAGAGGAGGAGGAGGAAGAGGAGGAGGGGGAGGAGGAGGCGGAGGAGGGGGGGGAGGAGGAGGAGGGGGAAGGGGGGAGGGACCACAGGGACGTGAGGTGCAGAGGAGGAGGTGAGAGGTGGGGGAAGGCAGGCGGAGGGGGGACGAGGGACGGCGGAGGGGGAGGAGGAGGGGAGGAGGAGGGAGGAGGAGGAGTTGGGTGAGGTGAGGAGGAGGAGGAGGGAGGAGGAGGAGGAGGAGGAGGAGGAGGAGGAGGAGGAGGGGGAGCCATGGTGCTCCTCGCTCTATGCAGGCGCCGGACGGCTTCAGGAGTGATCTGGCCGAGGACCTCCGGGGCGACACCACACACTCGGGGTTCCCTGATATCTTGGCGAGTTTCGTCCTTTAGGGCCCTCCCCGGCGGTTTTCGTCCTTCTGGAACCTCCTGGGGACATCTCGTCGCCACGGCTGGATGCGCCTCGAAAAACGGTCCAGGACGGACTTTGGGAGGGGTCCGGGAACCGATTCTCAGCGGAAATGAAAGGGAAAACCGCCGTTCCCTGAGATCCTGGTGCCGTTTTTTCACACAGGGCGAGTTGCTGCCCTGTCTCGGGCCCCGGGGCCCTCGCGGATCGGTCCAGACCGACCAATGCCGGAAGAAGATAAGGTCTGGGACTCTGGTCGTGAACTCACGATGTTGCAGGTCGATCCTTCTTCCTCCTCCTCCTCCTCCTCCTCCCTCCTTCCTTCCTTCCTTCCTTCCTTCCTTCCTTCCTTCCTCCCTTCCTTCCTTCATTTCACCCCCTTTTCCCTTACACTTCCACTTCCTTCCTCCCTTCCTTCCTTCTTCCCTCCTTCCTTCCTTCTACCTTCTCCTTCCTCCTGTCTCCCCCTTTGTTTTTGTCCTCCTTCCTCCTTCCTCCTTCCTTCCTTCCTTCCTTCCTTCCTTCCTTCCTTCCTTCCTTCCTTCCTTCCTTCCTTCCTTCCTTCCTACTTCCTCCTCCTCCTCCTCCTCCTCCTGGTGCACGCGGCGCCAGCGCCTCTGCCGTGGCCGCGGCCGCGCCCTCGGCGGCGCGGCTGGTCGCGCCGCTCAGCGCCGGGGGCTCCTCGGCGGCGCGGCCGGTCGCCCGGACGGGGTGCTCGTCCTGGGCGGCGGCACTCTCCTGCCCGCCCCTCGAGGCGGGGGGAGGGGACCTTCCTCGAAGAGGAAGGAGGAGGAGGTGGAGGAGGTAGTCGGAGAGAGGAGGAGGAGAGGAGGAGGAGGAGGAGGAGGAGGAGGAGGTGGAGGAAAGAGGAGAGAGGACGAAGGGCGGGGGTGGGGAGAGGGAAGGACCTCTACCCTATAGGGCGAAAGCGGGGGTTTGCCGCATGTTTGAACAGAGCGGAGCGGCGGAGAAGGAAGGTCCCAAAGCCTCTCCTCTCCTCCTCTTCCCCTCCTCCCTCCTCCTCCTCTTCCCTTTTTCTCCTTCTTTTCTCTCCAGCCTCATTCCTCCTCTACTTCCTCCTCCTTCCTTCTCTCCTCTCCTCCTCCTCCTCCTCCTCCCCCTCCTATCCTCCTACTCCTTCTCCTCCTCCTCCTCCCCCTCCTCCTCCTGCTCGTCCTGTCCTGAAGCGACGCCAGGCTGCAAAACAACATCGGAGAGAGGCACACCGGGACTCTCTGAGAACTGGCGGGTCTGGCGGACGCATCGGGCGCCGTTGCAGCTTCCGGCCGCCCCTCACCGCCCTGCGAGAGGGCATCTCATAACGGTGTGGAGCGAGTCTTACTCTGAAGGGGGCCTGGGACACACAAATAAATACACACAAATAAAAGGATTCCCTATATTTTTCCATATTTTCTGGGTTCTCGTCTTCCCCCCCACTATTTATATTTTCCCATATTTTCCGGGGGATGGACGATTAATTGTGTCTGTGTCTTTTCCCCTCCTGATACTCATCGTGCGCATGCCGGACCTCCTCCCTCCTCCTTCCTCCCTCCCCCACGCCCGAACAGGCGCCCGCAGCGGTCGCAGGCGATGCGCCGCCTCCTCTCCCTCCTGCTCCCCCCTCCTGCCCCCCCCCCCTCCTGTTTCTGTTCCTGCTCCTGCTCCTGCCCTTGGTCCTGGTCCAGGTCCTGGTCCTGGTCCTCCTCCTCCTCCTCGTCCTTTTCCTCCTCCTTCCTACGTAATCCAGAACGATCATCAACGCCACATTGCAACCTTCGGAGGTTTGTGCGTCAGCTTGTGTTGCTGTATGGCATCCCATTCTCTGTCATTATCCCTCCTCGTCCTCCTGTTCCTCCTCCTCCTCCTCCACCCTTTCTCTTCCTGATCCCTGTGGCTGCGCACAAGAGGGGCCCTTGGCGAAAGCATCCTTTGGAACGCGACTTCAAGGGTCCGCGGGGCGGAGAAGGTCAACTCCGCCCTGACCCCCGATCCGCCGTACTTTGGGCGATTTCGTAAGTGAGGCAATTGCGCCCCACTTCTCAAGCTCATTTGATGCCGACGTCCGCCCTACTTTGCCGTCGCTGTTTCCGCCAGACACAGAGCTCAGCATTACCAGGTTCATTGTGTTAGTGCTTGTTATTTTTTCTGCGCTTTCCCTGCGCACATGCCGCACGCTGCGTGCACGCCCACCCGTGCGCCTCCGTGCGGGGCGACATTGAAACCGCCGCCTCCCAGCACAAGCCCGCACATGCTTTGCATCTCCATGATCCATGCCCACGAAGTCGCTGGTCAGGAGAGCCCCGCCATGCCCGCACATGGCCGCACACGCCACACTTCCACATGCACAAAACTTGCAGGAGCGCCCTCCCGGGCAAC